GCAAAGAGCTGAATAAACATTTCTCTAAAACATGTCTCTTAAGAAATGGCCAAGAAGTTTATGAAAAAATGCTTGACATCACTAATATCAGGAAAATGTGAATCAAATCCAAAATGAGGTAGCACCTCAAACCCACTAGGATGACCACTGTCTAAAACATAGAAAGTATTAAATGCTTGTTAGGATGTGGAGAAACTGAAGCCCATGTGCACTGCAAATGGAGATGTAAAAAGGTGTAGCCACAATGTAAAACAGCATTGGGTTTCCACAAAAGCATTATGTTATCTAGTAATCCCATAGTTGGACATATGTCCCAAAGAATTGGAAGCAGGATCTCAAAGAGATATCCGCATATTCATGCTGAGTCATTATTAGGGCAGCCAGGAGGCAGCAGTAGTACAGATGTCCATCAACAAATGAATGAATAAAGGAAATTTGTTACATACATGCAGTGGGCTATATTCCAGCCTTTACAAAAGTACCAATAACCTGTCATATGCTACAACATGGATGAATCTTTAGGGCATTATGCTAAGTGAAATAAGCCAGTCAGTAAAAGACTGTATGACAGCACTTTGATGAGGTGTCTACAGAGGTTTTTTTGTTTGTTTGTTTAGAGACAGAGTCTCACTTTATTGCCCTCAGTAGAGTGCTGTGGCGTCACAGCTCACAGCAACCTCCAGCTCTTGGGCTTAGGGGATTCTCTTGCCTCAGCCTCCCAAGTAGCTGCCACTACAGGCACCTGCCACAACACCCAGCTATTTTTGTTGTTGTTGTTGCAGTTTGGCCAGGGCCAGGTTTGAACCTACCACCCTCAGTATATGGGGTCAGCACCCCACTCACTGAGCCACAGGCGCCACCCTGTCTACAGAGGTTTTAACTCACAGCAGAAAGAACATGGCTGCCAGTGACTGGAAGGGAAATGGACAGTTGCTGGACTAGTTTCTGCTTTATAAGATGAAAAATGTCTAGAGATCTGTTGCACCATGATGTCAATATACTTAACACTACAAAAATAAAAAAATAAAAAACAGCCAGGCATTGTGGTGGATGCCTATAGTCTTAAGCTACTTGGGAGGCTGAAGCAGGAGAATAGCTAAGACCAGGAGTTTGAGGTTGCTATGAGTTAGAGTGATGCCACAGCAGTTTACCAGGGTGACAAAGTGAGACTCTGTCTCCAAAAAAAAAAAAAAAAAAGGCATAGTCGTCCAGCAAACTTAATGAAGTCCTGTAGACAGAGTCATTTTTCTTGATTTTGAAGCACCTTGGTTTGTATAGATTTCCAGTCTGCTACCAGCACTAAGCTTTTCAGTTGTGCCTAATTTATTAGCACCTAGAAAGATAACTAAAATCTCCAATTCAGAATAGTCAGGACAATCTATTTACTAAGTTAAAAGACTTGCCAATGGTTCTATTGTTCTACAACAGACAAGGCAGACAATCTGGTCAACTCTTTTCCTATCTGTAAGGTGCTGGTCTCCCTGTTTGTTTCTGTGCCTTCAAGTCTACCTTTCAGAATAGGTCAACAGGCTGAGCACAGTAGCTCAAATCTGCAATCCTACACTTTGAAAG